TGTTTTTAGAAATCAATATTAGAAAAATCTGTAATACACGATTCGATGCGTCACCATCCCCTTTTTTCAGCGGTGAAAACCGCAGCTCTCTCTCTTGTTTCTATCAAAAGTTATTCAAAAAATACTCTTATCGCGTTCATGCTACCAGGACACATGCAGACAAAACAGATCTTATCGAAATTTTATTATTATACTATTAGTTGAAGTATGATCAAATAGCATAGAAAAATAGAGCATTCTTTGCTCTATCACTGCATAAAAAAAAGAAAATTTCTTTGAACTTATTATAAGGAAATAAGATAGTGACGACACTACTTTTGGATTGCTCTGAGTAGATCCAGTATTTGAAATGTTATTATTCAACAAGTTTTTCCTTACAATATTGACAGAAAAGGCGGATTTTTATTTTTTAAATCAATAATATCTTGTTTTGAAGTTGAAGATCTATATATAATATGTCTTCGATTGACTTTCGTCACTTAATTGACCGAGCTTATCGACTTTTGTGGCGATTTAATGATTCTGACCGTACAGCATATCGAGAAATTTGAATTTATTTTCTTTGTGAGAAAGTAAAGCGATCATCGTATGCCTTCTTTTTTAACGTTTTCAATTAAAAAGAATTGTATTCATTCACTTAATACTGTTGGACCTAAATGCGTACTCAAAATTATTTATGCCAAAGATTTCTTCTCCAGAAACGGTTGAAGTTCTTGTGGTTTTCTCTTTGTTGTCGATTAATTTTATCTATTTGTAGATATCACTTGCTGAAATTATAATTTATTACCTATATGAAATAAATTGCAAATAATAAAATAATCGTAGTTTTCAACCTGTTTGTTTTTGAATTACAGCTATAAATCAAAAACAAGAGGGAAAGATATATTATTCTATATGCAATAACACGTGAGTTAGAAGAGATGAAATAAATAAATTCAACGAGGATTGATTGATGTAATTTTATTTTATAACAAAGAAGAAAAAAGTAGTGGCTGGGCCAGGATTTCGGTTTAGGGGGAGCTGAGCTCCATATTCATTGTCCGCAATCTTCCTACAGTACTACAAGATATTTTTCTGAAAGCTTTCAAATTGAGCTGATTTCAAAAAAGAAAGAAAAGAAAAAAACAACTAAATATCGAGAGAATGCTCAGGCGAACAGAGTGGATCGTTCCAAACAGCTTAGTTCGATATGTTTTTAAGGTCGCACTAATTCTTCCTAAACAAGTCCTAAACAAGTTTATCATGTTTGTGTCTATTTTTGTCTTGTCCGACCACTCTTTCTGACCTACAGCTATTATATATCTTGTCTCTATTTCCTAGGTTTTTCGTTTCTCTAGTTTAAGGAAGAAATTATTCATTATTTTTATCAGTGAATTTTTGCTGCTATTTTCTATTTATATCACTTCTCGTTTGTGTGTTTTACTTGTTGCTACTGACGAAAAAATTCGAAAGCGTTCTAGCATTCTATTCTTATTTTTTCTACTTTGTTTCCTGTTGACAAAATTTTCAAAAATCGGCTAGAGATAAACATCAATACACATACACAACACCAGTATATCATCAGCCAACGTCTATTTAATGAGCATACATGGTTGTAGATAATCTCTGATTTTTAGCATGAAGCTGATATTCGATTGGATCCACATGGGGTCTTCAACACACAAGTTAAAAGAAACATATATAAACATGAAGTAAAAAACAACGTTGATTCATTGACAATTTGACGAGAGAGAGGGAAATGGTGATAATAAAAAGGGATTTACAGAGGACGCGAGTAGAGTTGAACAACTTCTATATATAGCATACAATACTATATCTGTAAAATTTAATTTTTCTCTTGACTAAAAGGAAGATTTATAAATCCGAAAATGTCTGTCTGTGCACAGGAGAAAGAAAATCTTATTTTCTCATCCAGGAAGCCATTTTGCATACATCTTAGTACAGAGAAATAATAGAATCTTCAAATTTTTTAAAAAGTACACAATTCGGTTCTCTACAAGCTTCTATTTATCTGAATTTAAAGTAAGGCGCTCCAAATTCGAAGATCGAGCACTATTTTATTTTCACTTCGAATATCTATCATTCGATAGATAATTTCATGCTGATTAAGAATAGGTTACTTTAAAGTTTTTTAATGTGCATTATCACCGTGAAAAATTCAAAATACTGAGAAAGACTCTCGTTTCTGCGCTAACTTTTTTTTAAGTGGTGTAACTCCGTTCCAAATGGAATTGGAGCTTCACAAAGGTATTTTACCCTATCAGATCACCTTTGTTTTTTCGAATTTTCACGTCGAAAAATTACTGAGGTTTTCACTCAGAAATGAAAATGAATGAAACATTTAGAAACATATATCATTCGAATCGGTAATAGAATTCTGAATAGAATTGAACGTTTTTATAGGTTACATAGTGTGATGATATGAATTGCATCTACTTCACACATATTTTTTTACTAATACAATTTATTTTTCTATACAAGCGAATATTTAATTTTTAAAACATAACTTACTGCTAGATCGCTGTTGAAAAAGCCTCTGTCGATTGTGCATAAACTCGAACTTTTATAATGCTCATTCTTTTGGTTGGCGACATTTTCTTTCTTAGTTAGGTATTCCTTTTCAAAAAAGCATCTTAGAATTGTCACACACGGCCCAACCGAGTTCAGTTTTGCCGTATTTTGTAGAAAACGGTTGGAGCTCAAATAGCATGCGATAAAGCGATTCAGTTAGGCGAAAAAACTGAATACTAACAAGAAGGCTGTTTTTGTTGTAGCTGTTCAGGTAGACCATTGTTATTAAACACCAGTAGGTTGTGATCAAACGCTCACTCATGTCTTCAATACCGATGAACTACCGTCGGTTACCGAAGCTACGCTTAACCGGCAAATTACCGCACGGTTACAGCGGTATCAGTGGTGGACCAGCGGTTACAGATCGGTAATATCGGCGATATGTTCACTCTGGACACATAGAACAGGAGTTCGAAACTAGGTCGGAACTTTTTATTTTTATTTTTATCGAGCGCTTACAAGCGCAGAATGGCTCCTTTAAATAGGAGAAAGTTTGACTCGAGTCGAAATTTCAATTTCAATGAGTCTGAAAATTAATAAAACACAATTTTATCTGAAAATAAATCAAGTTTTTTTCGATTTTTGCTGTTGCTTATATGTAGTGGCTGCTGCAAAACAAAACGGTGAATGTAAAAATCGGTTTACCGCTCAGTATTTTGTCATACTATGGTACAGAAAATAGCCGTCGCTAAATGCCACGTTTCACGGAGTGGTACGGTTTAGCGACAATAATTCTTCGAACCGACGGTAATCACAAAAAAAGTGCGACATGGGTACAATTAATTGTGAAAGAGCATTTAATTTTCAATTGTATTACAAAGAATTCGTTTCTTAGATACCTGTTTATAACTTGAAAAAATTGAAAAACCATCGTAAAAATATGTGAGAAGTAGATGTAATTCGTATCATCATACTATATGATCTATAAAAACACTCAATTTTATTACTTTAAATTGAGGTAAATAGAAGTTTGTATAGAACTGAATTGTGAAATAGCTTCGTGACGGAATTACATCGTTTTTTTCTTTCTTTTGCGATGGGCTTTATCGTTATACTTCTACCTAGGGGTGGCACTTTCCCGTTCCTTTCCCGAGTAACGTTAAAGTGGTATCTTTTATTTCAAAAGTAAAGAGTAAAGATATAATTTATATCTTTTTCTTTCCTAAGAAAAAGAAAAGTGGCACCTTTTCTTTTCCGAAAGAAAGAAAAGCAATATCTTTTCTTTTGTTAATAAAAAAAGGAGGTAGGAAAGAGAAAGTGCCACCCCTACTTCTACCTGTAAAAAGACTTCTATAAATGTCATTTGCACGGAGCCTTATGCAATCGAGTGCTCTCTATCAAACTAAGCGAAAAGAACGATAGAAAAAATGTTTTTGATCGTAAAATTGCTTCAAGAAAAAGTACCATTTCGATTTTGGCAAAAAACCAGCAAAAACTTGTTTAATATGTAAAATGCGTTTGTTAAGATTGTATTGACAATGTCAGTAGTAGATTTTGTAGAGAATTTAATTCTTTATCTACCGATATACTTACTGAAATATTTTAAAAAGCTAAGTTAAAATAAAAAAACTTCTAAGTTTTATATTTGAATTTTCGATTTAAAAGTTTGAGTTTCGTGGGTTTTAAAGTTGATATTCGTAAGTAGCGCAAAAAACTGCGTCGAGTAATGTGCTTTTTAGGCTAGTTTGAGCGAAAAAATATCGCTCAACCCACCGCAGCTGAGGATGACAGATACGCGTTTTAGCAGATCTTTTAAAAAATTTTGAAGATTTTATTATTTTTTTGTACTGAGATATATGCAAAATAAAAAATGTCACATACATTTTGAGACACCCGGTACTTTGATTAGCATATCACCGGGAAAAAAATAAAGTTGGTTTAGAGTTGCTGAAAAGTGGTTTTTCGTATTCAGCACACTCGATAACCCAGAAGATTTTCTGTTTTTGGCCCGAGGTACTTCCGAAAGTTTAGGAAAAGTTTTCAAATTAATTTTATTTTTCCATGGAAAACTTTTTGCGCCATTTTGTTTCAAAATTTTTCTTAAATTTTCGGAAGTACCCCGAGCCAAAAATAGAAAATTTTCTGGGTTATCGAGTGTGCTGAATACGAAAAATCACTTTTCAGCAACTCTAAACCAACTTTATTCTTTTTGTTCCGGTGATATGGATTAAGAATTTCAAATAAAAACAATAAAATAAAAGATAATATTGAATTAAACTTAATCTGCGTGCCATATTGTTCGTTCCCAAGTTGGCTTATCATTTAATGACTTTGCTGTTCCACAACGATATCCACCTTCACCAACATCTGGTTGCCAACATAAACGAAGATGCGAATTTTTAGCTGTTGACTTATCACACTTGTCGCGATAAACAGAATCGGTTCCATTAACAAAACCCCAAGAGTGTGTTGCGCTATAATACCATCCAACACCATTGGCTAGATGGGTACAGCTTTTGCGTGATTCACAATTAAACAAAACGTCGGATCTCATACCCATTGCAGCTAATGTAAATGTTGACGCACGCACTAATCGACAAGCAAGTAATAGTTTTTGTTTATTACATTGACTATTCAATGAATCGGTTATCGGGAATTTGGATTTAGATGCAGATCTCGACGCATATGTATCGTTATAACACATTGACCAACCGGATAGTATGGATGGATTTAAGTTTAATATTGGACCTGATACCCAATAAGTTTCACTAACTATAATTTTGATAAAAAATTATTCTAAATTAGTAAACATCTATTTTCCTAAATTGAATGAGATTCTTAAAAGAAAGCTTATCATCCGTAAATTCGTGGAGAAAAGTTTACACCATCTATGCTCTAGGGGTGGCACTTTCCCGTTCCTTTCCCGAGTAACGTTAAAGTGGTATCTTTTATTTCAAAAGTAAAGAGTAAAGATATAATGTATATCTTTTTCTTTCCTAAGAAAAAGAAAAGTGGCACCTTTTCTTTTCTGAAAGAAAGAAAAGCAATATCTTTTCTTTTTGCAAGAAAAAGACTTTTTTTTGCACCTTTTAAG